GATGCTGAGGTCTGCAAAAGGGCAGGGGAGCAGGAGCACAGCAGCAGGATCTGACGGTGCCAACCAGGGAACTCTATCTGGAACATCACCTCTGCGCTCCCTCAGCGGGAAAGCGGGAGCGCAGGGTAATGCGGAGGAGCCCACTGGGGAAAGAGGAGGGGTCATTTCAGCCTGGTTGTGATTAAACCCAGCCAGCCTTTCCCTCGTCCTGCCCTCCTGCATCTTCTGTGGCACCGCACGGCTCAGCCCCGGCAGAGCCAGGGTCACGATCACGAGCATCGGGCGTTTCGCAGGCTCGTCGCCCTCCCCAGCAACAGCAGCACGGCCGAACTGCTGCCGCCTCCTCCGGCCACCGGCACCAAACAGCGGTCTGCTCCTGATGGAGATGCTGCGGCCGTACTGCCCTCGGTCACCAGCAGCCGAAATCCACTGCCGCTGCTGCTCGTGCGCTGCCTTACGATCACCCTTCCACGTCCACAAGTCGACGCTTTGGCGAAGAGCTGCCCTTGCCTTGTTGGGATGCTGGGGGACGTTTCCATAAATTGCCACACATGGGAGCAGCGATCCATGTGTTCCTGCTGCATTCGGGTGGGACCGGCCTCCGCCGTGCTGGGCTGCAAGTCCCAGCGGGACATGGGTTCCCTCGGCGAATCCGTGGGGCTGGCCAGGCACGAGTTCGGAGCAGGCAAACCCGAGGTCCCTCTAGGGAGCCACGGGCAGTGCTGGGAGGACATGAGTGAGGCGCTGGAGCTCACCTCCCACGTGGTACCTGATGGATCTGTCGGAGCACGTGTTCCCTGCCCTTGCTGCTTACGCTGCTTTAAACCAGCCGGGCCCCCTCCGCCAGCCTGCCCCCCCAAGAGCGGCCGCCGGATCGCTGGGGAGTGCCGGAGAGGGAAGAACGACCCACAACTGCCCCGTCTGGATACATCCTCTGCATCCTTGCGCTGTTCTTCCTTTCATCTCCGTCCCCTGTTCCGATTCGTGGGGAGCTCTTTTCAGAAATATGAATCATAAAGGCTTATGAAGGAGTTCACATTCCGAGCACAGACGTGCCTGTCTCTGGATCCAGCTGTCAAGCGGCTCGGTTCTAACAGATCACAAGCCTGGTGAAGTAGCCCAGCTGGGACATCTCCCCCTTAAGCCAGCGAGGCTGAGGAAAGCGGCTCCGGCTGCTCCGGCGGGGCTGAGGGCGTTATGGAAGGGACGCCCTGGGCAAAAAAAAGCCAAGAGGGAAGCGCTGGCTGCTGCTGGGATGTGGGGTCAAACCTCAAGGTCCGTGTTTCCCTGATTGCTCAGCATCCCTAACTGCAGCCAATTCCCAGCAGCGCAGCCAGGGCTGTGCTCCGGACGCCGCGTCCTTCCCGAAGATCATCCTTGGCTGGGAATCGGCACTTTCAGCCCAGCCCTATGGCAGGGAATTTTCTTGGTACGCTCCTACATGATTCCTTCACCTGTCCAGAGCACCATTTGTGCACAGCATAGAAGGCTGCTGCAGACTGCAGTGAGATGCCATTTTAAGGAATATGACACCAGAGACACTGGGAGCTGTGGAATATGGAGGCTGCTGGATGGCCTGTGCCGTTATCTTTCCGGTCAGAGATGAGAGGGCACACGGCGGCACGTGCAGTGCCTGCGTTGGCACCAACTCCCCCACCCTAGCATTGCCCTCGGGAGCCCTTCGGCAGGGCTATGAGAAAGAAATTGAAGCAATTGCAGGGCTCTTGCAGAAACCCTCTCAATTCTCCTAGAGAGAAACCTGAGCTTTTCCTCAGCCTTATTAGACAAATGGCCTGGCCAAAACCTCCTGGTGGGTTAGCCACAATTCCTGGAAGCTGCCATCTGTTCCATTCTCCTATTCCCAGGTGAGCTGTGCTGTCACTGCGCCAAATCAGCAGGCCCGTCATTAAGGGGGGACATCACGCTGTGCCTGCAGTGACTGCTGGAGGCGGTCATCTGCCGAGGACTTTTTCACTGTCCGATCCAAACCTCTGATGTCAAACAACGGCTTGATTCACTGCACGGAAAGACACATGCCCAGTATTCCACCTTATCTACGGCTCACTGTCATTTCTGAGCTGAAACTGCTGTGGTAATAGGGAATGTCACCGACCAGGGTGACAGGGGAACGCAGGAGCTGCCTGTTCGCTTGTGATGGTCATCAGCGGGACAACACACTGTGACACGTGGCATCATGAGAGGCTCTGACCTCCCAAAAACCTGAGCCAGCCTCCTGCACAAAGATGGAGCGATGGGCGCAAGGGCTCCTGCGGCCTTGTCAGCCAACGCCACCAGCAAACGGGGCACCGCGCTTTGCGCCAGGGGGGACACCTTCCCACGCGGAAACACGGAAGGGTGGCAGAGCCGCTGCTGGAAAGGTCCGTCGCAGCGGGAAAAGAAGGACCAAAGGCAGGGCTAGGCGGCAAGAAGAGCCTAAAATATGAAGGACTGAAGTCTGGTTGCTGAAGGTCTTCAGGTGCTTTGTGCCCCCAGGGGACGGGTCTCAGTCGAGAACATTATAAAAAATGGATGTTAGCAAACATCCCTTTTTTGTGACCGCAGCTGGGGAAGCCTGGGGAAGGGAGAGGGGATGGGGGGCTGCAGCTCCGTTCCACGGGGAAAGAGACACTGGAAAACAAGCACAAGCTACTAGGCTGAATATACAGAACCACGCTGCAGCTCCAGTTGCTCCAGGGACAAGAAGAAATGGAACTGTGTGTGCACGAAGCCTCCCGTACTCAGGAGATTACACACCTTGCTGCCATGGATGAAGGATGGAAATCCCGCAGTCCTAGTCAGAAGGACACTGAAGCGAAGGGCACGTCCACAGAAAGTGACTGAAACCTCTGCAACAGCCAGTTAAAACACCGCAGCCAGCGAGAACGGCTCCAAGATCAACCCAAACTGCAGAGTCACCACAGGAGTTTGCAGGCTCCGTCCTGCTGAGCTGAAGGCGGCCGCAGAGACGAGCAGAGCTTTTTCCCTTCTTTGGGGGATGCTGACCCACATTTCCACGGCTCCCGTGGCTCCCAGCTCCCACCCGGGTGGCTGCATCTCCCCTGTCCTCTGCGAGGGGGGAGGGGGCAGCTCTGGGTCACGGTGACCGGTCGCCCAGCGTGTCGCTGGCGAGGACGGACCGATGGCCACGGCCGTGCCGAGCAGGTCCCCAGCGCGGGGGGAGGGAAGCACCGAGTGGGGCCGCAGAGGCTCCTGCCCGCGGCGGCAGCTTTGCTGGC